ATATATATATATATATATATATATTAGTATTAGAACTATTATTTTTTTAATTTTACTTTGTTGTGTCTAGAATACATATGTAATTAGTATCTATGTACTCAGAATATCTGAAGAAAAAACAATTGGTATTCTTCTGTGCTTTCCTTTAGAATCCATTGCATCCATAGCTACTATATTCAGTGCCTGCCTTAGTACCTTGGCCCATCAATGCTCATAGCATCTCAACAGTGTGTGCTTTGCTGGAGACCCAAAAGGTGCCTTGTGCTGAGGAAGAAGCAGGGTCATTTTCTGGGTGTATTTTCTGTCTCATCTGTTCTGTACCTGCCATTTGGTTGGTGCTTTTTGACCTGTGTCAATCCTGTAACTTTAGATCCTAGACAGTCACAAAGCTTTGTCCAATTTTAGTAGTAAATTGAGCAGGAAATGACAAATGAATAACATTTACAGTAGAGAAAGGCCACTGCCCCCTCACTTTGCATACTCAGTGGCTTACTAGAGCCAGGCAAAACTGACCAGCAGGGGTTGAATTCCCTCTTCCCTTTACTGAGTGGAAGAAATAGATTCCGAAACCTCCACAATACCTTCCAGGTTAAACTCCTGATCTCACACATAACATCAGGCCTTTGTGAGGTACAGGGAGCCAGGCTTAGCTCAGGAGTACAAGGGAGAGAGGCAAGTAAGGAGAGAAGGATTCTGGGTTCTTTGTTTCTCTCCTTGAAGCTTGAACAATTTGCTATCATCTTGGGAGAATTTGGTTATTCTGAGCATGCTCTGAGCTGAGAACTACTTGATTGGAAATCTGTCAGGGCTTCTGCGGCTGCATCTCTTCCTACTCTTGTTTCCTTTCAGATAGCTTTTCAGTAAATTATAACACACATGTCGAAGAAATATGGATGCCACTGCTTAGGCATTATAAACAGTTTTGAGAACTATCACTTTCTCCCTCTAATGACTGTGTAGACAGCTAAAGATGCTGAGATGAAAACACTTACCATGTATCTGCATCTCCAGGCTTTTATGGTGAATTTGCAGGGCTGCTTTCTGTCCTGAATATAGAATGGCTTTGTGAGCCCAGACTAGGAATATAAATGTTTGTAAGAAACAAGATCAATCAATAATAATGTCCTTCCACATCAGATATAGTTTATAAATATGGTAAAAATCATTCTATAAAAGTAATGTACCTATAAATCCTTACAAACAAGGACATTTTCTAGTGATAAATAGATTTCCAGGAGTTTTCATTGTCTCCTGCTCCATTTCCACAAGTAGACAAAGCTTAGGAGAGCAATTTCTAGATCTTTATCTTACAATGCAGTTGTTTTATCAAATCCCAGAATAGTCATTAGCAGGTAAAAGGCACTGGGCCTGAAAGTACATCCAAAGAATTCAGTTTTTCAGTTTACTTATTGCTTTGCCTGTAAAGTCCTCTATGAAGCCGGCTTTCTTTGTCTCCTACTAATTTTTTTCAAGAATATAGCCTCACATGGTCAATAATTTTTTAAGTGTCCAGTCTGATGTATATTATATACACACAGTCATTTGCAAGATCAGAAATGTAAGAAATCAGTTCAATTCATTTCTAAATAGCCAAATGATTTTAATTTCTGTACCCAAATTTCTGTTTCATTACAAAGGCATAGGGTACAATATTAAGTGGAAGTAAAATGTGATATCCCCACACACTTTTATCCATTTGGATAAAAATAAACAGACATGAGTTCTAAGAGTGACAATGAAAAATAAATACTTCTTTAAAATGTTTCTCATTTTATTACTACCCTTCCAAATAAGTCTTTTTTTTCCATCTTTATCTCCTGTTAATAGTTCTTGTGGAGAAACATTTACCCAAATGATGGTATTGCTGAAACCTAGGAATAAAGAACTGTAACTCCTTTTGAAACTATAGGCTCACTGTGTGCTTTTTCTTACTCAGCTGTGTAGCTCTACCCTCCTGGAGCCTTGATACATAGAACAAAGCACAATTGTCCTCAGAATCTATTCTTCAAAGCCATCTAGTCTGCATGTGTTTATGTGAGAAAGAATGAAGAAAACTGGAAGAAATTAATGCCAGGCAACATTTATTAAGTGCCTTATGCACTGTACACCCTCATGCCTCTGGGCTTTTGATATAGTATCTCAAGCAATGCCCACAGCATCCATGAATAGTATTGTTCTTCTCATTTTTTGTAGGAGGTAAAACTATGTCTGTAAGATTGAACAGCCTGTAACTGCAGCATTTATGAGTTCAGAGTAGTACCTTAATCAACTCCCCTTTATTAGCAGAAGCTTTCACACAGATTAATTCAACCTTCACAATAAAGTAGTATTATTCCAATGGTTTCCCACTGGAATAATTCAGGTTGAGGTAACTTATTAGGACCCTATTTGATAAGAGACAGGGTCAGAATTTGAGCCCCATCAAAGTCTGTCTTATCTCATTCTAGCACATGTTGCTACCACCCAGCATTTGACATGCATATTTTAAAAGAGAGTCCGTGCCCAACCTTTTATTGTTATTATTATTACTACTACTAGCCATTTTGAGGGCTTGAACTCAGTGCTTCAAGCTTTGTTCCTCTTGTTTGCTGTGCTGGTTCTCTACCATGTGAATCACACCTCCAGCCCAGCTTTTGCTATTTAATTGAAAATGGAGTCTCACGGGTTTTTCTGCATAGGTTGTCTTAGGACCTCCATCATCAGATCTCAGTCTCCTGGATATCTAGAATTACAAGTGTGAGCTACTGGTGCCTGGCTCCAACTTTGTATTCAATGAGGTGAATATAAAAGTATTTACAGGAAAGCTATGCCCCAGTGGCTCACGCCTGTCATCCTAGCTACTCAGGAGGCTGAGATCTGAGGATCACGGTTCAAAGCTAGCCTGGACAGGAAAGTCCGTGAGACTCTTATCTCCAATAAACCATTCAGAAAACTGGAAGTGGCGCTGTGGCTCAAGTGGTAGCACACTAGCCTTGAGCAGAAGAGCTGAGGGACAATGCCCAGGCCCAGAGTTCAAGCCCCCCCCCCCACCAAAACAACAACACAGTATTTACCGGACCAAGAGATACAATTTGGAGATTGGCTAATAAGGAAGATAGTTGGGTTTACTTTTTCACAGATAGTGTTATAGAAAAGGGATTCTATCACTGCTCTATGAGGAACAGAAGGATTTTCCCAGGTTGATACAAGTGGAATTTTGTATCAAGTGCAATACTAACAGCTACAAGTAATGGAAAAGTCCAGTACAGGGACTTAAATAGGAATTTGGTCTTCTCACATAACAAGAAGCCTAGGAGGGAGAGGTTTCAGATGCTGGTTTAGGTGCCCCAAAATGCTAGAACCCAAACTCTTTCTCTCCCCATTCCTTCACCCTTGCTCTTCCATCACAATGTATCACAAAGGCAGGAATCAAAGGCAGAAAAACCACACCAGTCACATTGCAGAGAAGCAAACACTTTTCCAGCCACTCCAGCACCCAGCAGACGAATCCAGATCCCATTGTTCAGCTATGGCTGCCCAGCAGTGACCCTGGTGAAGCAAGTGCTTACCTGGACACATTGCTTCCTCAGCAGAAGTGTGTCTTAGAAAGATGGAGTAGTGCAAGAATTCTTTCCTTGACACTCTTCATTCTTTCTACCTCAACCCCAGTCCAGTAAGTCCTTTAGGGTAAGTAGTATCAATAACAATCAGAGCATCTAAGTCACTATTGGGGGTGTATTTATTTTTTAAGTCTTATTTGTTCATATTTCTTGTATGTATTAGAGATAGTAAAAGGTTTCATCATGACACTCATATGCAAATGATTTCCTGTAATCATAGTCACCATCCCTATTACTCTTTCTTTCTTTCTTTTTTTTTTCTTTGTCGGTCATGGGGCCTGAACTCTGGGCGCTGCCCCTCAGCTCTTCAGCTCTTCACCTCAAGGCTAGCGTTCTACCACTTGAGCCACAGTGCCACTTGCGGCTTTTTCTGCTTATGTGGTGCTGAGGATTCGAACCCAGGCCCTCATGCATGCAAGGCAAGCCCTCTACCGCTGAGCCACCTTCCCAGCCCCCCTATTACTCTTTTTAATTCCGTTTCTTTTATGTAATGCATTAAGTAAATGATTGCTTAATTAATTAATAAGGTGAGGAAACTAGAGAGATAACAGTTGGTGAAGATGTTTGACTGCCCATGGAAGGGGTGGATGCTATTGGTACCAGAGTACAAATTGTGTGGCTTGATGGGTCAACCTCAGACAATTGTTCTCAGGAAGATGGTGACTCTAGGTTTTGGGGCCTGTCACTCTGAAAAGAACCCTATGTAGCCTTGTGTGATTGTAGCTCCATAGATTCCTTCTTTCTCTCTGCAGAACCAGCTCTCCCAGGCACTGAATGGATTGTCCGACAGGGCCAAAGAAGCCAAGGAGTTTCTGGTGCAGCTTCGCAACATGGTGCAGCAGATCCAGGTACAGACAGCACCTGAGATGGACAGAAACAAACCCAACCAGCTGGTGCCTAACGGGGTAGTGGGAGAAGGGGACTTGTTTTGTTTTTTTTCTCCTTTATTTCTCCTTTATTTTTTCTCCTTTATTTTCTTCTTTATATTCTCCTATATTTCAAGAAATTTCCTGTTGATTAATTTCTACTCTACTAAAATGAGTTTTAGGCCCCAGGCCCAACTCCAGAGTTTCCATATGTCAGGTCCAGTCAACACACTAAATAAACAGATGAGTAGTGGTGAGATTTATTTCATGGTTTGGGAAGAGGCATCTATAGCATACAGACATGAGCTCTTGGTTTAAATAAAGAAAAATAGGGCAAGGGTATAACTTTTTATTCATTATTTTTTTATCAATTTTATAAATGTATAATTAGTTAACGGTCAAACTGTAACCTGGTTGATCATTTTTAAGGGGTTCTCCAGCTGTTATTGCTCTCCTCAGTTGAAGGGAGTGATTTTGTTATGTTAAGCAAATTATTGTGGGTTGTCTAGTCTGCCATGCTCAGGCTCTGCTATTCCTTTCATTGTAAAGATGCTATCAACCACTCTTGTCCTTCCTGGATTCCAGGGTAGTTGCAAAGTAACTACAGAAAGAATGCCTCAAAAGAATACAGATACAAAATGGAGACAGAGATGCCAAGCTTTTGTCCTGCTTTTAGTTATTTCATAGGCCCAAGTAAGGAGTCAGCACTTTTTAGCAAAAATATTTTCTATGTACCTATTATATGATCTCTTCTATCCATGCACACACACACACACACACACACACACACACACACACACACACACACACACACCATCTCAGATATCCTGGAGATGGTTGACTTTGGCCAGCAAGCCAAAAGCACAGCCTCATTTTTCAAGTGGTACCTGTCTTCCACACTCAGGATCCTTGTACTCTACTACTGTGTATTTAGAAAGAAGCTTATCTCCTTTGTGAATATTATTTAGTTTTTACAGCTCTATAGATTTCTCAAACCCCTTGTAATGATTTTTATCTTATTTAACATTAACAGGTCACATTTTCTCTTTTGCTTCCCTTCTCTTACACTTTTCTTCCTTCTTTCTTCCCCTTTCTTCCTGTCCCATAGTAATGCTTCTCCTCTACTTAGGTATTTGGATATCACCCAGCTATGTAGCAACAGTCGTTTCAGATTGCTTTATCTGGACACAATGACCAGCCAGTCAGCCAGCATTTGAGAAGCCATAAATTCTCCACTATAGCTAAGAGGGGGAAACCATAAAATTCATGGGACACTAAGATAATGACCCTCTGTACTGTTTACCATTCTTGGGTTTTGAGTTTGACTCAGAGAAATAACCTTAGCTCTGGCCTCCAGTAAATGGTCTTTCTGATTTGATATTTAACCCACGTCGAAGCAGAAATGGATTTTTAAATGTAAGCCAGCCTTTGAAAGCATTATACACTGATTTCTATGCCTTTCTTTTGGCATGCATGTCCATGTTAAGACTTTTGATTCTCTAACAGCCTAACAGATTTGTACACTTCCTTCTGTGTTTCTGAAGCAGCGGAGTTTATCAATCAGTCCTTTCTTTGCTTTTGCTGGCATAAACTGTGCAGCTCCAGGCTTGCCTGAGCCTTGCCTCTCCATCTCAGTAAAGCATTCTTTCTGCAAGAAAATAGTAGAGAGGCTTTCAAGGGGAAGGCTCCCTCCCACCACCCACCACCTTTACCCTACTGGGCCACAGAGACCTCTTAAATGTTTCCCAAGAGCCTTTCCTAACAACTCAAAAATGCTTGCCATGAAAGCCAGAATTAGCATCTATAAGAGCCATTGCTCAAGCAATTACTAGTGCCTTGTACACAGATCTGCATATTTGAAAAAAATGTCAAATAAAGATCTGTGGACCATTATATAAAGAGCTACAGTTTTTTATGACTTTGGGTATAAAATTTGATAGACCAAATTGTTCTTTTATTGCCAGTCACCCCCAGATTTATAGTTTACTCAATTGGGTGCTGTTTTTTAAGTGCTGGTGTCAGTGTATTTAGCTATAAATTGCATGGGGTTTTATTTTTAAGATTATGATTTAAGAATCAAAATCTCATATATAACTTATTTAAAAGATTATCTCTAATAAATGTCTGTAATTTGTTGAGAGAATTGCTTGAAGAAAGATATATATGGATTTAAGTCAAGTTAAAAATTTATAGCCCGCATTTAATTCAAACATAATGGGGAAGCTAATTTACTTTCCCCTAGAAGCTATTGCTTTGTAGCTGAATTCTACAACATAGTAAGGCCTGCTACAGACATTCATTATTCTGTACTATTGCTATTCCTAGTGAGAGTCAAAAGTAGTTTGACTCATTATTCTTATACCTTTGGCATTTCCACTGTGATTGGATTACTGTTTAATATCAAAGGTCACTGCCATCCTTTTTCTATTTCCTTCCATTGAAGGATTGTTTCTCCTATACTCACTCCTCCTGAAGATCATTTTTTACCTGTGTTCACTCTGGACTCTAGAACATTATTGCATTCACCATAACTCATACTGCAGAGGTAGTTTTCCTTTGACAAAACTGAATTTAAAGAATACATACTTCTCTTTTCCTATCTACATTTAAAGCAAAACACTACCACTGTAGAATACAACTTATCCAGTTACTTTAAAAACACAATGTGTTTTGAGAACAGAGTTCCTTTCTGTCCATCCCCTTCAGTAGTTTGGTCAGGGGAGCCCTGGTTTCTCTAACTACCCCAACTTTCCCAAAACTTTGTGTCTGACAAATATTCTTTGTCACATAGGAGAACAGTGTGGAGTTTGAGGCTTGTCTGGTGGCTCAGTGTGACGCCCTCATTGATGCCCTCAATCGAAGAAAGGCTCAGCTGCTGGCCCGTGTCAACAAAGAGCATGAACACAAGCTGAAGGTGAGTGTGACCATGGGGACAGCAGAAAGTTGATGAACCAGCAGATGACAGGCTGGCAGAATTCCCTGCCCTGGGTCGGAGGATACAGTCTAGTCTCCATGGCCATGTGGCATGTCCAGAAAGGAGCAGACACATCCTTCATTCACTCCTTCATTTTCCTATCCAGTGGGCCAGAATACACTCTGGGTGCAGAGCAATGAGACAGTAAATCAAAACCTCTGTGTTCATGTGGCTTATAGTCAGTGAGAAGAGATAAACAGTAAGCAAGGTAAATGAGTTGTATAGTATGTTTGTAAAACATGCTGAGCATTAAATGCAGATAAAGAGATGGTGAACATAAGGGAAGAGATTTGAAATTTTAGCTGTGGTGGCCAAGTGGACACATAGAGGCAAAATGTATTTCTGGATAGGGAAATATATAGGGTCTCTACTTGCTTAACTTCTAAGTTGAACTTTGCAGTTGAATAGACATATAGACTGTTCTTACTACAAATGAAATTGATTGCTTATAACTCTAGAGTCCAATTGGCAGGGCTGGTCATTCTGGAGACATCTGATGTCTTGTCTGTTTCCGCTGGAGTTAGGCAATGAGCTGTGAGAGGCAGGGCTGGTAGATTGAAAAAGAGGATCAGAAAGGAAACCAGCAGTGGGCAGTCACATGCCCATGTCTCAGGGAGTGTCTAGTGAGGTACAGGGTACTCGGTGGGCCTGCTTTTAGGGTGGAATAAGAAGTAGGGTCTGACCAAAGACTCCGCTGGTCAGAAAGTTTGTATTAGGAAGTTTGATAGGAACGCTGAGTAGCTGCAACCTCAGAGAAGCTAGTGTGTAGTCAGTGGCTCAATAGTGGTTGATGGCTCCTTTCAGGTATGAAGCAGGCTCTTGTCCTTGGAGAACAGTAGAACTCCTTTCTAAAGAATAGGGTTCTAGTTTGCAAACCAAAAAGAGCTTTAAGACTGTAGATAAAGATAAACACAGCTCACAAAATTTGGGGCTAAAAGCTGATGCGAGAGACTCTTTGAGCAGGGCCTCTACCTAATTTATATTTACCAGAAATAAGACAAGTAACTAACCTGGGCATGAGACTTGGGCAAAGGATGTTGCAAGACTGACAATGCTGAGCCCTGAGCAGCAGAGCTGCCAATCATTAGTATGTGTCTCACCCTCATACTAGGACTCAGAGCCCCAAAAAACTCTGGTTTGAAGACAGAGACAGCCAGTATAATTAAGAAAGAAAGAAAGAAAGAAGGAAGGAAGGAAGGAAGGAAGGAAGGAAGGAAGGAAGGAAAGGAAGGAAGGAAGGAAGGAAGGAAGAAAGAAAGAACACATTTTTAACCAGGCACCAGAGGCTCATACCTGTAATCCTAGCTACCCAGGAAGTCAAGATTTGAGGATCACAGTTCAAAGCCAGCCTGAGCAGGAAAGTCCATGAGAGACTCTTATTCTAATTAACCAGCAAACAGCCAGAAGTAGAGCTGTGGCTCAAGTGGTAGAACCCAAAAGCTCAGGAATGGCACTCAGAACCTGACATCAAGCCATAGGAATGACGTGGGGCCGGGCCGGAGTAGCAGAGAGGCTGGAAGGGAAGGAACAAGAACAGGAACACCTTTCTTTCCCTAGGAAAGCCTCATGGTTCCCTCCAAGGGTGAACAAAGCCCCAATGTAGCTCCTTCACTTGGGTTCCTCTACCCTCCCTTACCTGTAGCTCCTCAAAACCCATTTAATGTTTGCAAACCTGCTATTTCCTTCCCCAGAGAAATATAGGAAGATAAAGCTCTCTCTCCCCTACCTTTGTGAGTTGTCTGGCTGTCAACTCTGGGGGAACCTGTGGAATTGAGGCAGACAGGAGGCTAAATGAATAGCAGGGTCCATGCAAGCCAGAAAGGGCTCATGAGGGCTGAACCTTACAATGAAGTTTGCTACCTGACCTCCTTTAGTGCTTACAGTGTCATGCTTCCTTGGCTGCCCATGAGGTAAGCACTAGCACAATTTTATCAAGGAGACAGAAGATTCCTAAATAAATAAAACTGTGCATCTTAAAATCAAAATGAACTGTAAGTTTGTAAAGAAAAGTACCCAGAGTGCTCATGTTCAAAGAACTCTATCCTATTGGTTTGGGCAGCAAACAAAAGCAATCCTTTAGCTCCTTCCAGAGTGGTAATTAATGTTTCCTGGTGGTAAGTCTAACTAGAAGACCCTTTTAGATTCATTTTAGGATGAACTTGATCTCCTATAGGAGAGCACACCAGCCTCAGCCACATGGGTCCTTCATAAAGCTGATGGAATAATAAGAACTAGAGTTTTCCTAGTGAAACACTTCTTGTGGCCTGAGCATTTGTAAGCTACAAGGTGCCAGTGATGGAGAGTATTACCTACATTGCTTTGTCCAGTTCATCAGTTTCTAGGCCTCTGGTTCCTAATGTCTCCAATCAAGTTATTTGGTTTTGAAGGGCCAAAGAACTGTGATTCAAGGTAACTTGTACTGATTCCTAAAATGTAGTAGAAACTGAGAAATGTTGTAACAGTATTGTTTTTGCCTAGATAGTTCTGAAAGTTTTGTTTAGTGGATAGCTAGCTAATAGATTTAGCTGCAACAATCTGGAAAATGATTCTACTCCAAAATATTTTCATCCAAGATACTTAGGTTAGATCTGAACTACCTTGTATGTGAATTAAAGTTTGTGAATGTTACAGCATATGATTCTGATGTTGCCTTGAGACCAACACAAATGAGCATTCTTGGTCCCCAAGTCCTTCCTTTAATCATTTAATAGCTGAAATTTAGAGACATTTTCTTTTCAAAAAAATTGCAATTTTATTGTCAAGGTGATATATAGAAGGGTTACAGTTATAGAAGTAAGGTAATGAGTACATTTCTTGTTTAACTTGTTACCCCTTCCCTCATTTTTCTCCCTCTTTCCTTCCCTCCAACCGCCCCTCCCCCCCAGACATTTTCTTTGAGACAACTCTATATGAATTGTGCTATAAGGATCAGCTGAATCACTCCTATTATAGAGATAAATAAGGAATAGCACCAAGATATTATGAACTGGTATAAGGAAAAAGAATTTGTGTGCTGGGAACTTGGCTACAGAGCCCAAAATCAGCACTGCACTGCTGATAGCAGGTAGAAGTACAATGCAGAGATTGTGAATCCTCTCAGCCTTTCCCTTTCCTTCATTAAATCTAATGCACACCTCAATCCTCAACAGAAACATAGGGAAAGAAGGGGCACTTAATTGACTCAGTGGAAGAAGCAAACCACACCTACAAATGACTGCAGCACAGGTAAAGATCTAGCTTCCAGGTGAGGACAGAATTACTTATAGTTACAGATTCTCTAATGCAAGAGTTATTAGTATCCCAGACTGTAAGAAACATGAGTTACCACCACCTTCCTGCCTGCAATGATTTGGGCAGAGGTTTCAGGAAAGAAGACAGTATTTAGCACAGATTGTATTATATTACTCCATCCAGTTAGTCCTGAGGGATGGATAGGCGTTTCCTGTTTCCATCTTCTGCTCTAACATCAGTTAAAAAAAAAAACTGTCATCAAACCAGGCACTGGTGGCTCATACTTGTAATCCTGGTTACTTAGGAGGCTGAGATTTGAGGATGGCAGTTCAAAGCCAGCCCAGGCAGTAAACGCCATGAGACTCTTATCTCCAATTAACCACCAGAAAACTGGAACTGGCACTGTGGCTCAAGTGGTGGAGCATTAGCCTTGAGCTAAGAGCTGAGGAACAGTGCCCAGAGTTCAAGCCCCATGACCGACAAAAAAAAAAAAAAATTGTCATCATTGCTGCATGCCAGTACCCTTCAGAAATAGCGTTTTCTTATAGCAATTTCTAAAATACCTTCTGAATCACATTGCACTGTGTTAAATAAAACCAGATATCTTTGGAAAATGAACTGGACATCTGGAATTTTCTCTGCTAAATAATAGGGCAACCTTTAAATATCTATACATAAAATTTTTAACTTTTTCCTCAGTGGAAATCTCTTTTACAAAACATTGCAAACATTATCTGGCACTATAATACAGAGCACGGTGAATGGTTTGTAATAAATCACATGATGAATGTAGTGACACTACAGCTTTTCTATAATGGAGGTGGGGGCGGGGCAGTGAAAGGCAACTGCAATCTGGAAGAAAGAGGGAATCAAAGATTGAGAAAGCATAATGGATCCATGTCAGAGAATGGCGAAGGTCGTGAAAAGTCCCCAGTTGTCCTGGCTTACTGCTACCTGTGCAGAATGGAACCATGTAAAAATCAATTATGACATCGATGCATAGGTAGTTGCACGAGAGTGGCGTTAATACAAGCTGAAACTGGCTTCTTTCCCTCCCTCCAGACTTACTCCTGGGGAACCTCTCTGCAGGGCACATTGATGCCTTGGGAATGCAAAGCAGAGAACCTGCCAATCCCCATTTCACCCTGCCCAGGCTAGAGCTCCTGCCCTAGACCTCAAAGAGAGCAGAAGCAGAGACAGGTGGCTGGTTGTTCCCTATCGCAGCAAAGCTGCTCTGTCTTCTGTCTGATGTGATTGGTTTCTCTTCTTTTTTCAGACAATTGTATCTGTCACTGCTTCTAAAAGCAGCCCTCAATAATGTGGCTGCTGCCTGACTACTGATACAGGCCACAGTGGCTCCCTCCTTCTTCTTTTGTCCCTGTCTTTTTTCCTTTCTTGTCACTTTTGTTGCTACTGAGAGTTGTGAGAAAAGACTGGCCTGTTACAAACATCCTTGCCAAGCACAGTACTTCTTTCTGTCTTTGTTGCCTCAGCCACTCTGTACTGCTGCTGATCTTGAGTTCTTCCGCTTCTCTTTGGCTCAGTCTTCTGTGGCTGCTCTTGGCTGACAAAGAGAGGAGTTGTATGTATGTTTTTCTGGCAACTCTCCTTGAGCAATTGAAAAGACACAGGATGCTGGAAAGTGAGTGTACATTTCCAGTCTTAGTAAACTGATCGTGACACTCTGAGAGTCCAGATGTGGTTGGGCG